TCCGGCCGACCTCGCCGAGTCCTTTGCGCCGCCATCGGAGTCGCCGTCGCAGCTTGCTGCCGCGGCCCCCGATGAGGACTCGATCGGACCCGAGGACCCGAGCTCCGACTCCGTCTCCGACGATGCGGTGTCGGGAGAGCCCCAGCCAGCGGTGGCGACCGTCTCGCTCGCCAACGCCGACTTCGACACTGGCCGGGCGGTTGTTCCTGAGTCCACCCTCGGCGGCGAGACCACATGCATCGTGTGTTTCACCAGGCCGAAGACGCACATCGCCGTGCCATGTGGGCACCAGTGCGCGTGCGGCGCTTGCGCGGATCGGATGCGCGACTGCCCGTACTGCCGCGAGCCGGTGATGATGTGGATGCTGCAGCGCCTCGTGTAGGAGATGACATCCGTGTCGAGGCGAACGCGTCGTTGCAATTAGCGGGTAGATCGATAAAGGGGGAAACGGAGGCTCGCCGGGAGCGAATCACCGCACAATTCTTTTATGCGAGAGACGTCGTAAAGGTTCTCCACGCACCGCTGTGGCGCAGCTGTGGCGTGTGGCAAGGGACGACGCCGCGCGAGCCGGCTCGACGGTGAACGAGCTAAATAAATAAAATAAATAAAACGGACACCTCTACTAGGAGATGGGTAAAAAGGAACAGGTCCCCGCCCTGCGGTCTTTGTGCAGGGTTCTTTGTGGGTGTGGTCGGCGACTAGCCGGGGTCGTCCTCCCGATGGGGGACTAGCACTAGCCGTCTTCCACATGGTCCCTCGGGTCCCTGCTGCTCCTAATCTCTTCGTACATCCTCCTGCTGATCTCCGCAACGTCCTGCTCCCTCCCTCGTCTCGCCCTGCGCGACTGCTCCGCCTCACCGTCGTCCGCCCTGCGTCGTCTGACGGGTCCTCCATAGTCGGTTGAGGTCGCCGCCCTCCTCGTGCCTCTTCCCAACGTTCCCTCGGCGGTCGATGCCGTCTGGTCCGCCTCCGCCGTCCCCGGGTCTGCCCTGCCCTCGTCTGCACTAGCTTCTGTTTCGTCATCACTGGCGCCTCTCCTCTTCTTTCTCCTCTTCTTGTATGCTTTGTACATCGCGTCGATTCCTTTTCGCGTGAGCACCATCCTGAAGCTCGCCCAGCAGCGGAACCGCTCCCGAAGTCGAAGTCGGGCCTTTTTTTGGTTTCTTTCTTTCTCCCTCCCTTCGTGCGCGACAACATAACGTGATACACGTGTGTTGTGGCGGCGCACCCTCCTCCCACCACGCCCTTCCAGCTATTTCTCTCTCGCAGCAGCACTCAGCACCCCCTAAGGACGGGAACGGCACCACCCATGGGCGGTGCGAGGACAGATCAGGGTGGTGTTAAGAAACACCGGGGGTTTGGAGGGGTCTTCGTCTTGGGAGCTTAGCCGCCAAAGCCGTACAGCGTGCGGCCCTGGCGCTTGAGCGCGTAGACAACGTCCATGGCGGTGACGGTCTTGCGGCGCGCGTGCTCGGTGTAGGTGACCGCGTCGCGGATCACGTTCTCGAGGAACACCTTGAGGACGCCGCG